CCCGAAGGCCTTAGTCATGGTGGATTTTTTGTCTTCGAACACATGCCCACCCTCGAAGGAGTAGTCGATACATGCGACCACCCAGCCCGGAGGCCTTAGTCATGGTGGATTTTTTCCTTTTCGAACTGATCGAACACTTCGACTTGCCGCTGAAGTCGACAAGAAAACACACCAAACACCACGAGATAGAATAGTAATCGATCATTCTCATTAGCCTCATCAAATGCATAGTTATATCGAACAAAATAAAATAAATCAAGTATATTTTTCGACCTCCCTTTCATGTTTGTGCATGACGACCTGTGTCGTCGTTCACTTCCCACTGTCCACTCCTTACTGCAACCATGCAGTGTACATAGATAGCCAATCCTCCTGTTCGTGCATTTTACTCAGCAAGAATTTAACAATTTCATTAGTCGTATTTTATCACATCATCCCATTTGCAATCCCGATAGCAACCATAACAAGAGATTAATAAATCAAAGCAATCAAATTGGTCTGCATGCTTGTATACCACACCTCAATCTATGTGAAAGTCTCTTTGCCACGATATGAAACCACATAAACACCTTATCAAGGGTGCGGTCGACCAGAATTTCACAAAACCATGAATTGAACAAATAATTTCAACAAACCATACTCTGCAGCTACAAACAACCATCAAACGAATGCACCAAATGAAAATTTAGATGAATTACTCCCAATACCGAGCTCTTTAGTCATGATGACTTGAAATTGGCCAGCCCGAAGGCCTTAGTCATGCCAGGTTTTGTTCGATGCTCCACGTACACCTCATTTTCAGCAATTTGCTAGTCACTAGAATGATAATTCCAAACATATCCATATACACCACAATCTCATCCACATTTCGCCCAAAATATTCAAATAATGAACATTCCTCCAAAAAAGAATGCCAAGATACTCAATGTACCACAAAATTGGGTCGGTCGAACTTGACTGCAAACAAGAGTTGAGATTAATTTCATACCTGAAGATCTTGAATATCACTTCCCATTATCCTACCTCTCCAAGAGAGAATGATTTCTGCCTTTGAAATTGCCTCCGGTGATCGATGTCATCTAGGTTCGTCCTTCCTTATCACCCACCTTTTATGGATCTATGTTCGTTCATTTTGTCCTCGACACTCAACAGCTCGTCAAGACTCGGGTTATTTCGTTGTTTCCTCGACAAGAGTTCAGAGAGATATCATTTATCCACATTATATTCAAGTTATCAATTTTGCAATTCTCCACGCCAAAAAGAAAAACAAGATATCAAATACCAAAATCACCATCTCCTTGATTTAAGACATGCTCGAGCAATGACATGCTTAAAAATTACGAATAATCCATTTCAACAAAATCCACAATTTCACATGAAAATTCAAATGAGGGGCTCCGAACTTATCAAGATATCGAATCATATAATTTTTAATCCAACTCCTCGAGCCCATAGATAAGTGCACCAAAAAACACGATAAACACAATCCTAAAATATCATCCATTTGAAACCACGACCCACATTATTTGCGAACAAATATATCAACGAACAAATCAAATGTATCCACGATCAAATTGAATATATCCACAATCGAATCGAATAATTCCTCGATCAAATCAAGTATATCCACGAACAAATCAAAGAATCCCTCAAGCAAAATATATAATATCTCCTCGAACTAATCAAGTAATCGCCTCAATTAAGTGAAACAATCATCCACAAATAAATCCCATAATCGCTCGAGCGAATCAAATAATCATCCTCAAATAAAACCAATAATTGCTCGAGCAAATCAAATAATCCTCCATGAATAAATTAAATATTCTCACGATCAAATCAAATAATATCTACCCAACAAATCAGATACCTCCATGGGCAAATTCAATATCTCCATAAATAATCAAGTAATTCCCATGAATAAATAGTATCTTTACGAATAAATTAAACAATGTCTCCACGAGCCAATTAAGTATTTCCACGATCAAATCCAATAACTCGTCAATTTTTACCCATTTAAATCGTCAGGTCTCCAAATTTTTCCATTTAAATCAAATAATACTCTACAAATAACTCCAATAAGCTTCATGATAAATCAAATAATCCTCCATAAACGAATCAAATGTTTCCTTGAACGAGTCAAATAATTTCCCTCAGCCAAATCAAACTATGCTCCACAAATTATTCAAATAGTCCTCACGAATATATCAAATAGCCTCATCGAATAAATCACATAATTCCTCAAACAAATCAAATAATTCTCCTCAAATATATCAACTAATACCTCCTCGAACAAATCAAACAATATCCACGAATAAATCATGCAACTCTCCACAAATAATCCAAATAATTCCACGAATAAGTCAAATATTGATCCACAAATAATATCTTCACGAGCAAACCAATATTTCCACGAGCAGATTAAATATCCTCCATGAATATATTAAATATTTTCACAATCAAATCAAATAATCCTTCAAATAAGTCAAATAATTTCCCCGGAAAATTCGCATAATCCTCAGGACTTAATTGAATAATATATCCTCGATCAAGTCAAATAATGTCTCCACGAATGAATTAGATAATTCTCCACGAATGAATTAGATGTCTCTATTATCAAATCCAATTATCTATCAATTTTTACTCAATTAAATCCTCAAGTCTCCAAATATAAAATAGTCACATACCTCCGTTGCGAGAATCATATCTCAAATTACCTTTCCGGGGCTGTTTTTGTTCAAATAGGAGCTGTTTGTGCTCACTGGGCTGCA